GAATTACTACAGCATTAGACAACAGCAGATGTGGTGGCACAGGCGTGTAATCCTATTGCCGGGGAGTGGAGACAGGAGATCTCTGGGGCCTGCTGGCTAGCCAGCTTAGCCTACTTGACCTGTTCTAGGTCAGTTAAGAGAGAACCCACCCCACAACCTGCCTGCCAAAAAAAGTGGGCAGTGAACAACATTTGAAGCTGTCTCTGGCTTTTGTACACCTGCGTGCGCGCGCGCACACACACACACACACACACACACACACACACAAGCACCTGCCCACTTACACAAACACACATATACTAAAAGAAGAGCAATTTGGGAAAAGAAACTGACCTGATGCAATTATTTTAGCTAATGCTACATACCAACACCAAACTACACAGGCAGATTTACCAGTAATATCAACCTTAGGAGAGTTAGCCACAGAATACTGATTAATGTTAAAGACATTAGATGAACTCTTAAGTATCCATGTCTGGATATTGTACCTCATAATAATTACTAGAGAGGAAAAAACTGGGTGTGTGTGTCCCAGGGTGTGGGGAAATCACAGACTTGCTCCCCGGGGTACCCTACAATTATGAGATTAGCTCTCTCCTAAAGCAGGATTAAGAGCATAATAACTGCCTTAGAATTTCTCCATTAAGAAATGTATTCAACTGGAAATATACACCACTGGTCCTGTTGAGGAGAAAAATAAACAAGTCAAATTTCCTTCTGGATGGTCTTCCCTACACTGACTTAATATGAAAGCAAGGTTAGAATAATAACTTTTCTTCAAGTTGGTATATTAAGTTTATACAGAATAATTGCATCTTAGGCATCCCAAGTGACCAAAAAGAATATGGTGATTCTGACCAATTACTCTGATCAGGTCACACCATTAACACTTAGGCCTTAATCACAATCAATCATATCCTAAGTGCAAATGCTTTTAAAGTTTCTTCTGTGTTAGAAATAAGCACAAGATATTTCCTTGTTATTTTAAAACGCTACTTGTGTAAGGTGTTTAAGCTACACCATCATACTTTCCTGTTTTACAGATTACAGCCCACATGTGCCAAGCAGGCCCAATCGCTTCCTCTGGCGGCCAGGCTTAGGACCAAGGACGGTTGCCCACATTAAGCAGTCAGTTTGTGCAGAAGGCTGCTGGATGATATTCAAATGCTTATTACTCAAAGCCCACTTAACTATTCACATATCTATCTACCCATGCATTCAGAATTTATTAAACACCCACACTGTTCAGTGTATTGCCTGCTAGCTTGTCAATTTATATGCTTTTTTTAACTTTGATGAAGTACCACTCAAGACCCAACAGTCTGTCCTGGAGTACATTAGTCAAGGAGAACTTGACTTATTATTTTTAATCTTTAATAATGTGTATCTGTGTAGGAATATGCAAGTGTCCATGAAGGCTAGAGGCATTTAGGTCTCCCTGCAGCTGGAGTTACAGGCAGTTGTGAGCTGCCCTATGTGGATGCTAAGAATCAAATTCCGATGATTCTCTGTCAGAGAAGGAAGTGCTCTTAATTGCTGAGCCATGCCTCCAGCCCTACATTGATAAAATCATAATCTAAACTAGTTTACTCACTAACATTTGCTTTCTAGATTAGTGTGCACACACATGAGTGTGTGTGTGTGTGTGTGTGTGTGTGTGTGTGTGTGTGCAGGGAGATGCAGGCCATGGTGCACACCAGGAGTTGGGTCTCTTGGGATCCAATTCAGGTCATCAGGTTTGTGCAGCAAGCGCTTTTACCCACTAATATCTTATCTTCCTGGCCCTGGTCACTAGCATTAAAAAACAAAAAAATAAAATATGAAAAAAGCTGTGAAATTACTAGAAAGAAATAATACTTCTTTTCTTGAAAGGCAAAGCAAGACAAATTCTCTTTTATTTCTTCTACACCTACAGCTTTTAGGCAAATTCTTTGTTCTTTCATTGTAGGTGAAAGAATAAAGTGCTATTTTTGCTATCCAAATTTACATATTTGCATTTATCCATACTGTCTTATCCCTAGAAATTCTTCTTGGGCTGGGCTAAATTAATTTAAGCAACAGAATGTGAAGATGTAAAATAAGAGAAGATTTGTGAGTGGAATTTTTTCATTGTTGAATGGTAGTTATAGGTTAAGAGAATGGCACCTGGGCTAAAATTCCAACCCTACCATTCAACCAGGCTATAAAACATTCAGCCAATTATTTAATGTTTCTAATTTTCAATTTATTCATTTGTAAAGCAGGGATATCAGTGTTTGAGTTGTTTGGAGGATCAGAGATTGCTATACATCCATATCAGGTACCTGGCATACAATAAGAGTCAAATTTTAAAAAGTATACTTTGCTTCTATTAGTTTCTCTGATTTGCTCTCTTTTCAAATGACAGGATTTTGGATAGTTTATAAATCTGTTTTTAATTCATGTTTATAAACATGAATTATATTGATTAAAAATTAAATTGATTATAAATTTGTCTAATAAAATAGACTCTAATAGTCTCAGGAGACCAACAAAAAATTTAAAAGAATTATAGAGGCAGAAACACTGTAAATTGTACGGAAAGTACAAGGTTTGTACAACAGAAAAACAGGCCCTTGGATTACCAAAACCTCTGTGAGAAGGAAGCAAGCTGAGAAAACTGCAAACATGAACGGCTTTTCAAGAAAGGGAAGTATGAGTCAGAAGTGGGATCAAGAGCCATGGTGACAGACACACTTGCAGTAACCAGCAGGCTGAGTTCGCACCAAGGGAACTCCTAGAAGTTCACATCCCCAAACTCCAAACTTTCTAACAGTTACTTGTACCTGTGTAGGGAGAAGGACAGGCAATGTGGCTCTTTATGTTAATAGACTCAGAGGAACTACACATGATAAGCTCAGATAAGGAACCACTCTCCGAGCGTTATCTGCCCTGAACCAAATTTAGATGAATAAGACTCTGGATTCAAATTAACTAAGGAGTGCTAAGACTTTTGGGGGATATCAGAAGAAGAAAATTAGAAAATCAGTCCTGGCTAAAGGGCAGGCTGTGGTGCTTTGAAAATAAACTGACCAGAGTGGACAATTTTCCCTCCAGAAGTGGTGGCACATACCTTTAATCCCAGCTCTTGGGAGGTGGCGGCAGGCATCCACATGCACAACACACCCAGTCAAGCAGCCCTAAAGAAAGGTCAATGTGACAAGGAGCTGTGTGGTCTTTTGCAAACAGCTACAGAAGTGATTCACCTCAGCCCAAGCCAAACCTCCAGATAACAGCAGGCTGGGCAGGAATCTGGACTGCAGTTCACAGGGAAAGCTGCTGCTGAGCCACGACCACTCGGCTAGACTGATTCTGAATTCCTGACTCACAGAAACAGTAAGGTAAAAAGAACGCTAGCTGCATTGAGCTGTCAGGCTTTGGGATGATGTGTGTGGCAACAGATAACTAATAAAGTCTACAGTGTGTTTCCTTTGTAGAAAAGTTTCTGGCCCTTTAAAGGCAAAGTAAAAACCACTCTCTCAAGTCATGGCAGAAGGCAAAGTTTACATGTTTTCAAATTTGTCATGAACAAAATTTAAAATTCATTAGGCAAGCTCTAAGAGAAAAAAACCTACTCAAAAATGATTATTATTTTAGCCTCTTTCTGGTAAAAACTGCCCCTTGTTTAAGTGAGGAGATGAATGATGTCCTACACCTGCTCTTCCCATTGTTTAAGTTCTTCAGGGTGTAAATAACAATGCTTCAATACATAGGATGAAAGTGAAATATCCTCAAAATTATGATGTCTTTAACTGAGGAATATTAAAAAAACAAAAAAATATGGCATAGAAATAGTTAAGTACTTTTTCCATTTAAATTTTAATTGACCGATCCTCTGGGACATTTAACCTAAAAAAAGGTCAATATTTTACAATCCTGAATAAAATTTGCTCTTGATTTCATTTTTTCCCCATTATTTTACAGTATAGGTTACAATAATCACTTGGAGAGTGAGTTGGCTCTTTAGGCCTGAGTACAGTAAGGCATGAGCACACACTCCACCATCAAAATCTCTCTGGTGAGTCTCTGCTCATCTGAAAGGATCTTTTAAACTGGCCCTGCACTTAGAAAAACCTTCAAAGCTTGCACTGCTCTGTCACTTGGTTTTCAATGCTTCCATCAAGGCCACTGGTACAGCAAAATTACTGGGAATGGAATTCCCCTTTGGCTTTGGACTCTACTCCTGTGATTAAATTCACAAGGGCACATAACAAAATGACTTACCAGGCCACGTCAGGCACTGGATGGCCTGTGCTTATTTTAGCAACTAAACTGGAAACCTAATATAATCCTAACCTAGATACCATGTGCCTATGTGTGCTAACTCTGCCTTAAGAGTCCTACAATCTTTATTATGCATAAACTTATAAATCTATTTTGTTTCTCAAATCAAGCAATTCTATCATTTCCTATCACTTTATGTGACCTGGGCAATTTTACTACAGCACTGGAAAAATTTAACAAATCACTTCAATACGATGAAATCAACTGCTGTGTTGACAAAATTTTCAGCTGAAGTTAAATTTATAATCCACTTTTAGCCTAGTTAATGCAGAGTATGTTCACCAATTAACAATAGGCTGCCAAAGCAAAGAACTTCTCAAAATCCTGAAGGCTTTCTGTTCTGCTATGAGTGTGAAGTAAGGAACCCAAAACACATGCACATGAATACACCTAGCTTGTTCCCATGACTTGAGTATATTCACCTCTCTGTTCAGATAAGGTCATAATTGGCTATACTTAAGCATTCAGGAGAACCATCTGTCCTTTAGAAGCAACTGCACCGAGAAAACACACAAAGACAACGTACACTGCTGAAATAGCTGTTTGCACACCGTTTATAAATAACTCTATTTTCTTCCTTTAAGCAAAAGCTCACTCTTTCTCCATCTCTTCTTTCACCTGAAGGAGTTTAAGCTATCCAATCATGTTACATCGTGGGCTCCAAAGAGGAAGAAAGGCTCATAATGACTTCAACTTACAGGGCTCTGCAGGATCTGAGTAACTCGCTTCCTCTGCTCCATCATATTGAAGTCTTGTCGTAAATCAGGAGACATATTCCTTTCTCGAAGATATTCTGGATCACTTTCATTGATTCGGTCAAAGTATCTCTCTTTGTGTGGCATGCTGGGAAGGGGAGGAGTAGTGACCACAGCTTGGCTGGTGTCTGAGCTCATGCTTCAACTCTTGTTCTCTACATAGTAAAAACAAAGACAGGAGGACATTTATTACAACACCTTACTAACATTTTACAGGAGCCAAGTAGAACTTCAAACTTTTTCGACACTTAAACTTTCTTTTGAAAGTAGCTTCAAGGGCTAGAGAGACAGCTCCCTAGTTCAATTCCCAGCACCCACTAACAACTGTCTGCAACTTCAGTCCCTCTTCTGCCCTATGCATCAGGCACATACGTGATATACACATGCAGGCAAAACACCCATATACATAAAAAAGTAGCTTGACGGAGGCCCGGTGGTAGAGAGAACGATCCCAGTGTATCATGTCCCTGGGTTTGAGGCCCAGCACTTAAAACATCGAAGAAGGCAGCTTCTCCACAAATACTGGAAAACTTTTTATGTAATCAAAAACCTTTTATTTAAAAAATATTTCTTAATAACAAAAGAAGAAAGCTATAATCTAATACTAAACTGATTATTATTTTTTTTTAAGACAGGGTTTCTCCGTATTGCTTTAGAGGTTGTCCTGAAAGTTGATCTGTAGACCAGGCTGGCCTCAAACTCACAGAGATCCACCTGTCTCTGCCTCCTGAGTGCTGGGGTTAAAGGTGTGTGCCACCCACGCCCAGCTACTAAACTATATTTTAAAGGAAGCAATGATCAAAATATCCCAAAGTAAAATGAGCATTGCTGACTGACGGTGAGTATAGTGAACATTGCTGACTGATGGTGAGCATAGTGAGCATTGCTGACTGACGGTGAGCATAGTGAGCATTGCTGACTGATGTGAGTATAGTGAGCATTGCTGACAGACGGTGAGCATAGTGAGCATTGCTGACTGATGCTCAGTAGTGTCAGTGGATCTCCCCTAACGCATGCTTTCATGTCAGACCAGACTTTTGCCCCACTCAAGGACCCTTAAACTTCTTAGTGGGTGTAACTTGCTGATGTATGAAAAACATATGGCTAGGTTTTTAAATGATTCAGTAACTTCTCAAGAGAATGACAGAACTGTGAAGGTCGACAGGCTACCACGTAAGCAGATGCACTTTATACTTTAGAAAGGACACAATGAAAACTTTTCAGAAGTTAAACGAACAATCGACTCTGTTATCATAATTGTTACTGATATTGAGGGTAGCACAACTTTATACCATCAAGACTAATGTATTTGAGTTTACTCCATTCCTTCTCCCTCTAGTCTGCAGCAAGCACACAATATAACAACAAGCTTTTCTGGCAATCATACACAAGCACATTATTTTTCATTTCACTAAAGTGTCACTGTATAGAGTTTGAAAGTTCCTGGGGTAGTTTGAGAAGCACTGAACTGGAGTAGAGACTTACTTGTAAAGGGTTTGGGCAATGAAAACATTCAAGACAGCACTAAATTGAAGTACAATTCATGGCAAGAGTTGTCTGGGGTTAGACAGCGGTGAGAGTTGCATAAAACCACAGATGTGCTTAGTGCTACTAATGAGCACTATCGGCTAAAATAGTCAATGTTATCACAACTTTAGACAGCTCCAAAAAGCACACCAACTTGCATGTAAAACATTCTGGAAGGAGCTCTGTGTGTGTGTGTGTGCGCGCGCGCGCGCGCGCGCGCGCGCGTGTGTGTGGCACACCAACTTACATGTATAACATTCTGGAAGGAGCTCTGTGTGTGTGTGTGTGTGTGTGTGCGTGCGTGTGTGTGTGTGTGTGTGTGTGCATGTGCGTGTGCGTGTGCGTGTGTGTGTGTTGGGATGGAGCCCAAGGCCTCCCACTACTAAACCAGTACACTACCACTGAGCTATATCCTCAGTCCTAAAATTATGAATCTGTTACCAAAACAAAGAAACAAACAAAAAACATACAAGCAAAACAGAACCATGCAGATCTTCAGAATCTAGAATAGGGCACAATTCTTTAACACCAAACCCACGACTGGACTCCACTAAAATGTAAAATGTTTGTTTGCAAAAGATACTGTTAAGAAAATAAAAGGGGCAGGAGAGACAGCTCAGAGGTGAAGAGCTCTAGCTACTCTTTCAGAGGACCTAAGTTTGAATTACAACACCCCATATGGCAGTTCTCAACTGCCTATAACTCCAGTTCCAGGAGCTGCTAGGCCTCAGCCCTCCACCCTTCCATTGCACTACAGACAGACCTACACTTACACATAATTTAAATAAGAGTAAAAGGGGGGAGGAATGAAAAGACAAGGTATAGGCCATGAGGAAACTATGTACATAATAAAGGACCATGAACACTCAAAGGGTAGCAGTAAGCAAACAGATACACAGGTAACAAACAAACTGGCACACAGAAAGATGCTCAGCTCGCCTCACTAGTCATCGGGAAACAGCTCTTCAACAACACAGCACTGTACACATCATCAGAATGGTTCAAATAAACAGTGACAACAGAGAAATCAGAACCTCATACACTGTCAGGATGTAAATGGGACAGGTACCGTGGGGAAAGGTTTGATATTTTATTGAAAATATGCAAAAAAAAATTGGCTGGGCGTTGGTGGCGCACGCCTTTAATCCCAGCACTCGGGAGGCAGAGGTAGGCGGATCTCTGTGAGTTGGAG